CCTTAGTCATACACTGGCAAAATTTCACAAAGAAACTGGCAACTCGTGTGCGCCCAATGGAACGACATTGGAACGCAGAGATCACATGAGCACCCGTGCCTAGCCCGCAGTCTAGCTCGCGTTGAGGAAGTTATTTCCGCTCCGGTCGGGCTGTAGGTGACGCACCAAGGATCCCCTCATCGCCGGCGGCCTATGAGGATCCGTTCCATGAAACGTCGATGACGGGCGGTGAAGGCGATGGCAACAAAGTCACCGGTCGGGGCACAGTAGGAGGAGGGAGTTCGACTTCATTTATGTCTGCGTCATCATGCTTGAAGCAGTCGGTGAGTAAGGGGGGCATATTCGAGGACCCATCTGGCGACGGGCCAGACGGCTGTAGGCTGCACACCCAGCACACCAACTTGGAAGTCGTCCGAGTCCATTTGAGTGTGGGACTATTTTACGTTCACCATATGAGGCATGTGTTATTTCGCGTATTTACTCGCACGAATAGTCTTGCGATTGTACCCACTTGACACATCAGAGAAAGGGTCCTTTGAGCATCGACTCGGCAGAGATGCTAGTAAAATGTACAGTTATGCAACGACGATGAACAATCATAGAGTTATAATTTCCAATAATGTTTGTAAGGCAATCAAGGGTTGTTATGAGAGATACCAGCACTAGAATTCCAACATTCGCCGCATGTATCGCCGCAAAGCCAAATTGTAACAAAGCGTAATAATAAAAGACCATGCGTAATAACTTCATCTCACCCCACAAGTGGGTTGCGCATGGAAAGGGATATGGTGTCCTAATTTCCGGCGACTTTGATAGAAGCTCTCGCAAAAACTGTGGATCCGTTTGGCCCCTACTGATAACGTGACGAGGTTGTCGCCTCCTTCTGCAATCAATAACATAGCTTGAAAGACAATGCCGCGGTGAAAATACAAGTTTTTTTCACAAACATGGCAAACACATGCAGCATGAGCTAACCAGGCCATAGTGTTAGAGCATCTAGCATCTTGTCTCCGCTGGACTCTTATATAGAGTGTGGCATGTTCCACTTTGTTCCTTAGGGGTTAGGCTGGATGGAATTGTCTCATAACAAACAATCTGAGTCTACCTGAGCCACTCATCTCATATGCACCATCTCCAGCTGACTTGGTGGCTCTAGTTCTCACAAAATGCATGCCAACAATCCACCCCAACACCACTTGACCATGGAATTTGATGCAACTTGTGCTTTATATGATCAATCCTCACATGTCATATGGGGTCTTCATGGCTGCATCCAAACAAAATCACTGTTACGTGATGCCCAGCTAAGCAAATTCCTGTCCACTAGTGGTCACTTCCATCATGTGAGGGGCACATGCATCCATCCATAATATCAACAATGGGCAACTAATGATACCTCCCACAGTCATCACTGTTCAACTGCAGCACTTGACAGTATAACTGATGTTGTGCATGGACAGGAGTGCTGCAGCATTTAGGTGGGCATGAATTGCCTTTAATGCCATTGTATTTTCCTGGAATTAGCTGGGCCTTCCTTTAGCATGAGATGTAGGCGTGAACTCCAATTCGAGTAAAAACATTCCACACTACAAACATTCTCTTCCCAATCTTGCTCGACATACTTCACGTCTTAGGTAAGCCACCCGCCTACCCTTTCTCCTTAGCTAATGGCGGGCCCTTCAGCTGCCTGACTCGTTCAACAACAGCAAAGCTGTGAGTCGCCTATCACTGCTATTCCGCGTATGTTTCTCTAGAAGCAACTCTACACATCCATCTCAGCTCGTTTGCCAAGCGGTCCCCGAACTATCGTGGCTCGTATCATCTCTTGTTCAAAGCTGACTCAGTGCCGCACCCTTAGTCACCGCCACCGTTAGGAGTTCTGTATCTAGCGGCCCGTGCTTGTGACTTCCTTTTCGTAGTAGAATTCCATGATTGGGATGTCTACTAAATCTCCTCGAGCAGATGCGTATCACTCGGTAGAGATCTCGCTCACACACACCTTCTGAATGTTATTGAGATTAATCAGTCGCGATATCATCTTCGGGGTCGGGGTCTCATTCTCGCGGTCGAGATATATTTCTCACGGTCGATATCTCAAATTATCACGGTAGCAATCTCAATCTCACGGTCCAGATTTCATTCTCCCGGTCGGCATCTCAGTCTCCCGGTCGACATCTCTCCCTCACGCACGAATCCTATCTCTCACGGTCTACACCTCTATCTCACGGTCGAAAGCTCTCTATCTCACAGTCGGAATCTCTCAATCTCACGGTCGAAATCCCTCTCTCTCTCTCACGGTCGATCTCTCTGTCTCTCTCTCATGGTCGAAATCTCTCTCTCTCTCTCTCTCACGGTCGAAATCTCTCTCTTTCACGGTCGATCTCTCTCTCCCTCTCTCACTCTGTCGAAATCTCTATCTCTCTCTCTCTCTCGGATCTCTCTCTCTCTCTCACGGTTGTTATCTCTCTCAGGGAAAGGGTCGATCTCTCTCTCTCTCTCTCTCTCTCTCTCTCTCTCTCTCTCTCTCTCTCTCTCTCTCCCTCTCTCTCACGGTCGACATCTCTCTCTTTCACGGTCGATCTCTCTCTCTCTATCTCTCATTGTCGAAATCTCTCTCTCTCTCGGTCGAGATCTCTCTCTCTCACAATTGATATCTCTCTCTCTCTCTCGGTCGAGATCTCTCTCTCTCACGGTCGAGATCTCTCTCTCTCACGGTCTACACCTCTATCTCACGGTCGAAAGCTCTCTATCTCACAGTCGGAATCTCTCTATCTCACGGTCGAAATCCCTCTCTCTCTCTCACGGTCGATCTCTCTGTCTCTCTCTCATGGTCGAAATCTCTCTCTTTCTCTCACGGTCGAAATCTCTCTCTTTCACGGTCGATCTCTCTCTCTCTATCTCTCATTGTCGAAATCTCTCTCTCTCTCGGTCGAGATCTCTCTCTCTCACAATTGATATCTCTATCTCTCTCTCGGTCGAGATCTCTCTCTCTCACGGTCGAGATCTCTCTCTCTCACGGTCTACACCTCTATCTCACGGTCGAAAGCTCTCTATCTCACAGTCGGAATCTCTCAATCTCACGGTCGAAATCCCTCTCTCTCTCTCACGGTCGATCTCTCTGTCTCTCTCTCATGGTCGAAATCTCTCTCTTTCTCTCACGGTCGAAATCTCTCTCTTTCACGGTCGATCTCTCTCTCCCTCTCTCACTCTGTCGAAATCTCTCTCTCTCTCTCTCTCTCTCTCGGATCTCTCTCTCTCTCTCACGGTTGTTATCTCTCTCAGGGAAAGGGTCGATCTCTCTCTCTCTCTCTCTCTCTCTCTCTCTCTCTCTCTCTCTCTCTCTCTCTCTCTCTCTCTCTCTCTCACGGTCGACATCTCTCTCTTTCACGGTCGATCTCTCTCTCTATCTCTCATTGTCGAAATCTCTCTCTCTCTCGGTCGAGATCTCTCTCTCTCTCACACTTGATATCTCTCTCTCTCTCTCGGTCGAGATCTCTCCCTCTCACGGTCGAGATCTCTCTCTCTCACGGTCGATCTCTCTCTCTCTCTCTCACGGTCGAAATCCCTCTCTCTCTCTCGCTCGATCTCTCTCTCACGGTCGATCTCTCTCTCTCACGGTCGATCGATCTCTCTCTCTCACGATCGATACCTCTCTCTTTCACGGTCTATCTCTCTCTCTCTCTCTCTCTCTCTCTCTCTCTCTCTCACTCTCTCTCTCTCTCTCTCTCTCTCTCTCTCTCTCTCTCTCTTCACTGTTCTGGATTCGCGCTCCATCTCATATTTGAGATCGTGTGTTGCTCTCACATCTCCTATAACTCATTTGGTGTTGCTACTTCAGATATTTGCCCCCCGATCTCAGGACCAGCCTGGGGATTCGGACCACCACTTCTCCCCTCCGCGAATCCCGTGGCGTCTCCGCCAACACCCACCCTTCTACTCACCTCCGTTGCCACGTGTGCTCCCGCTTGTGCCGGTCATCTCCCCCCCCCCCCCGTTCTGATTTTTCAACTGCCTACTCTCGTTTATTTGCCATGGAATTCCCACTGCCTGTGTCTACTCCCCATCGCATGGCCGCCTTGGGATTCGCTCTCACGTTGAAGCATCTCGTGGGTCTCGCCGCGCCATCGCTAGCGCCGTGTGCCGCTCATCCACCCAACAATTGTGCGGATACGGAGCCGCACTGAGTTTCGGTACAGCACTTCTCCAATCCGCGGATTTCACCTCATCAACGCCCCTCCTCACGCTTCGCCGAACCTCTGCGCCCGCGTGTGCTGCCTAGTGTGTCGCAGTGTGAGTATTAGCGATGAGTGGAAGTCGGATTAGAGGGGAAGAGAGGGGACTTGGGAGTGTCCATGGGAAAAGGAATGCGAGATGCTTATTTTTTTTATTTGCGCATCCACTCTATAGCCTCTTCGCGACTTTCCCCCGTTCTTTGTCTTGGGACGCTACCAGAATGCTGTGATTCATGCATCCTGCTTCCACGCCTTTCTACGTCATCTGCGCAATGGTCGAACAATCCCCTCGTCCAAAACCACCCGCCCTTCCTCCCACCCCCCCCCCACACCTCTCTTCCTGCCCTCAAATTAGTCTGTTAAAAAAATAAGAGCATTGTGTTCGTGCGTATGTGTGTGTGTGGGAGTGTGTGTGTGTGCGTGTCCATGTGTTTGTGTGCATGTGTGTGCGTGTGAGCGGAAACTGTTTGCGTGTGTGTGCTTGTGGGATCCTGTGTGTGTCTCTGTATGCGTGTGTGTGTGGGACTGTGCACATGTACCGCACACACCTCCACGGATTCTGCCTTTTTGCCCTTTCATATCACAAACAGAGCCGCCGTGTAACGTACTGTCTACATGGACAACTGGGCCGACTTTGAACGGCCCGCTGAGAGTGAAGGGTTAGACAACGACAACACAATTGCTGAAGAGTCAGACACAGGTACTTCATTCGCGCTGGTAAACGATCGTACAGTTGGCTTGCAATCATGGCTTGCAACCCCACTACACTCACCCAGCCCTCTCTCTGCTCTCACGCCGCCCTTGTCTCACTGCCATGGACAGGAAGTGCAGAGAGGAGGAGGGAGGGAGAGGCAGAGGCGTGTGTGTGCCTCCATTCTGCTCCTCAGTGGGGTTGAATTCAACCCCACAAGACTCACCCAGCCCTCTCTCTGCACTCACGCCGCCCTTGTCTCCCTGCCATGGACAGGAAGTGCAGAGAGGAGGAGGGAGGGAGAGGCAGCGGCGTGTGTGTGCCTCCATTCTGCTCCTCAGTGGGGTTGAATTCAACCCCACTACACTCACCCAGCCCTCTCTCTGCTCTCACGCCGCCCTTGTCTCACTGCCATGGACAGGAAGTGCAGAGAGGAGGAGGGAGGGAGAGGCAGAGGCGTGTGTGTGCCTCCATTCTGCTCCTCGGTGGGGTTGAATTCAACCCCACTACACTCACCCAGCCCTCTCTCTGCTCTCACGCCGCCCTTGTCTCCCTGCCATGGACAGGAAGTGCAGAGAGGAGGAGGGAGGGGCAGGCGGAGGTGTCTGTGCATTATATCCCTTCATCTGAAACCCGTCATTATGTCCCAACACTCATTCTTTTCTATAATATATTTCACTTTCCAAATATCGCAGATGTGGCTGGTGATCGCCCGTTCAAGTGCCCAGGTTGCCCAAAACGGCTTAGCACCTACAGAGCACTTGTCAGCCACGAGCGGAAGCACCGCAACACGTCTGCTGACGATGCGCTGTTTTTGCCCACCACTCGGAATTTTGGTGCTGGTCGGGGGATTCTGGCGGAGGAGCACGTACCTTATGTTCGAGTGGAATCTCCATTACTGCCACCGATGGAAGGGGTGGATGTGGTAGATGATAGCGATGACGAAGGTGGGGGCCAACAGGAGGAGGAGATTGTGTTTGTCGATGCTGACGCCTATTTTGCTCATGAGGAGACAGAACCTGAGACTGTGTTTGACACGCGTTTTGAAACGTTCAGGTTTCTCTCCCTCTGTAATAGGGGTAGCGGGATGAGTGGACCTGATGTGGCACGGTTTTTCCGGCTCGTGAAGCATCCAGATTTTGACCGTGCGCAGTTGGACAAATGGAGTGGACAGCACTCTGTAGATAAGTACGCGGAAGAGGAGTTTGGCATTGAGCAGACACAGTTTAAGACTGCTGCCGTACGTGTGCCTGGATGGCACCGGACCTTCACAGTCAAATATTTGGATCCTATCGAGGTATGGAAAGCTATAGCTTAGTTTGTTGTCCGAGATATTGTAATAAAGTGTGTATTTACTTCAACTTGTTATGTTTTTCATGTACAGGCCTTACGACGGATGTGGGCAGATCCAAGAAATAAGAACGGGTTCATTCACAAAGCCCTAAAGAAATATGTGAACGAAATACGGGTCTATGCCGGAGTAGAAACAGCAGATTTTTGGATTGAGTCACAGGTGATTTGCGCATATACGTCGCTAACATTATGCTCTACAATGCATTGAACATATTTGAACTTTTCTTTTGTTCACAACAATGTCTGTAGTGTTTTTCGGTTTTTTTCGCTGGATCAATTGTGTATTGTAACTTCCTATTCCGTTTTATTGGACAGGGTGGACTTGGGCCAAAGGAATGCGTGTGCCCGATAATTCTCTCAAGCGATGAGACTCACCTCAGTGGAAATGGGCGTTGCCGCGCCTGGCCGTTGTACCTTTCGTTCGGCAATCTTCCCCTCAGCGTTCGGTGGAGCGAGCACGGACATGCACTCATAGCACTGCTTCCACTTCCAGACGCAGACATGTCATCGACACAGAAAACCATATTGTTCCAGAGATGCTGCGAGACTGTGCTGAAGGCGCTCGACCAGGCATGCAAGACGTAAGAAGTACTGTGGTTCTCGCTTTAGCTCGTCAGTGAACCTTGCCTAATGCTGTATCGCGATATGAACTGTTTGCGTGCAGGTCAATTCCATTGACGGACCCATATGGGGAGGTCTATACTGTATGGCCCAAGCTGTTTTCATACGTCGCTGATTTTCCAGAGACTTGCAGAGTGTCGTGCACCAAGCAGACCGGAGCCAAGAAACCCTGCTCAATTTGTGAGGTGCAGGACATTGACTTGGACAGCATGGACCCGACATGTGCTGCCAAGTATCGCACGGTCGAGCAACAACGCAAGTATGCCAACGACAAGGCGCTCGCCAAGGAGTACTCAACTCACATGACCAAGGTGAGGTGGCCACAAACACATGTGCATGATTTAGAACATTGGTGTGTGGTCGGATTTCACGCCACATGAACGCCCCTTGTGTTTTTTTTACATGTGTGCAGTGCTTTCTCTGGACGTTCGGTAAAAGGGAGGATCGAGCGGAACCATGGGGAAACCCTTATCGAATCTTTATGCCCGACATTTTGCACGTCATATTGATTGGCATATGGGTCTACATACTGGAGGCTATCGTCATCGCGAATAGATGTGGACAGAAGGCAAACGAGTAAGTGCATTTGTCATGGCGGGCCATAATGAGAGTGTATATGTGCTACGTGTGCAGAGGGCGTGCGCGTGTTGGTGGTACAGAGTGTTTGTGTGTCGGTTTGATGGAGGGCGTGTGTGGTGTTTGTGCCGTGTGTGTAAATGTGATGGCTGTACGTCGTAGTATGTACTGGTACACACCCTAAACTGTAATGGTTCTTATCGGGAAATGCGTAACAAGCTCTGAACAAACGCTTCTGTTGTGATTGAAACGTGGGTGAGGTTTCGGTTGTTGACGACGTACACCCAGCAACTGTGGCATTAACGGGGTGTGTGGTAATCTTTTGTCTTTGTACACAAACCAGGCTGCACTTCGAGATGTATCGCGCCATATTGCTCGCCGGATCGAAAATACCGCCACCCGGTGGATATTTCAGTTTGGGGGCCAACTTCTCTGCTGCAGAACATGCTGCAATGATGAGGGTAAGCTAGGAGGGAAAGAGTGTGGGTCTAGGTGCTGAATGGCCAGAGTGTTTGAGTGTGGTGGACGTATACAGTGTGAGTCTAAGTTGGTTGTTTAAGGTGAATACTTGTGCTGGTGGTACGGAGAGTGTGTGGACTGTTGGTACTGAGTGTGTGTCTCTGCTAGTTGTGTATAGTGTGTGTAATGGGGGTTTTGAGTGTGTGTCTCTGCTGGTTGTGTATAGTGTGTGTGTTGGTAGTATTGACTATGTGTCTCCGCTGGGTATATAGAGTGTGTGTACTGGGGGTAATGAGTGTGGGTTTCTGCTTCTTGTGTAGAGTGTGTGTACTGGCAGTGAATGTGTGTCTCTGCAGGTTGTATGAACTGTGTGTATGTGCTCGTTGCCTTGAGTTCATTTGCGCCAAAGGTACAGAGTTTGCATGCGAGCGTGTTGTAATGAGTGTGTGCATGCTGGTTATACAAAGTGAGTGAGACTGTGTGGGTATCCTGGTTATATAGTATGTGTGTGGGCGCTGGTGGTATCGAGTATGTTTTTAGGCACTCTAATTTCATGCGGGTATGTGCTTGTTGTGCAGCGTGTGTTTGTGTAATAGTTGTTCAAATCCGGAGTGTGTGGCGGTTGCACAGTGTATGTATGTTGGTGCTGGCTGTACAGAGTATATATGTGTATGCTGGGTTGTGTGTGTATCTGGAGGTTGTTCTAACATTGTTTGTGAAGTGGTTGTATAGTGTCTGTGCATGCTGGTCAGAGCTAGTGTGTGTATGTGCTGGTTTTACGGAGTGTTTGTGTATGCTGGTTGTATTGATTCTGCATGTACGCTGGTTATTTAGAGCGTGCGTGCATGATGCATGAAGAGTGTGTGTGTGTGCTCGCTTGTGGTAGAGAGAGTTTACACCTCGTTAACATCGCACGTTATCCTGAACCCTCCCACACCTCTTTGCTTCTTTGTTTGTGCACATTTCAAACCACCCTTCCGTCGTGATGCAGGTTTCTGTGGTAATACTCGAGGGCCTCATTACGGACGCACACATGTGTGTGCTGCGTTTCTTCGTGAAATGGTTCGACACGTATTTTTGCGCATCAACATTCACAGAACCGAAGTTGGCGGCTTACGTCAAGGAGACCGCCGAGTACGTATCAAGCATGCTTGTTTATGGCTGAGGACATGTACGGAATTTGTGTGCTGAACCATATCCATGATGTGGTATATTTTGTACCAAAACCCACTGCCATCCCTCCAGATTGGTTGCGCTCTTACACACACATCTACAGCGCACAGGAGACGGATGGCAGTTGCCGAAAATCCATTTGCTAACGCATTTTCCAGATTCCATTCGACGTGGAGGGGCTCCTAATGAGTACTGCACGGGCTTGTATGAGCATGCACACACCACGACATGCAAGCAGCCATTCCGTGCATCAAACTTCCGCCAGTACGATGAAGCTATTTTGCGGAGTGTCCAACTGAGGAACATGCTCAGCCAACGAGAATCAGCTATTGGTGGATGGTCAACCTACGAGACGGCAGTAATGAAGGTGAGGGTCGAACACAGTTGTCTGTATTTTTTTAGCATGGTTCTTACGCTTACACTTGCACGGGTTGTCCTAGCCTTTGACTAAACAATTTGAAATGTGAACATGTTTTGACTGGTTTATACTACCACAGGCGGACCGTGTTCGTTCGAGCGTGCTAACAAAGACGTATGATACAGTGGACCTGCATGTGGGGGACCAATCAGGAAGAGGGGCAGCAATTTGGCAGGGATATGTGGAATGCCATGCAGATAGTATGCAGCACATTCACGCATGCATCGAAGAGCTAGGGCTATCAGCCAGCACCATACATGTAAGTGATGAGTGTGCTTGTTGTACTCCGTACGTGTGTGTGTGGGTGTGCGTGTGTTTGTGATTTCTACAGAGTGTATATGTTTGCGGGTTGTACAGAGTGTGTGGGTGTGTGCTAGTTGTACAACATTTCTGTGCGAGCCACTTGTATATTTTGAGTTTGTGCAGGTTGTACAGAGTGTATGTGAGTGTGTGGGGGGGGGGGAGTGTGTGTGCGTGTATATGTGTATGTGCGAGTTGCTGGCAGACTTTGTGTTTGGGATGGCATGTAAAGAGTGTGTGTATTTTTGTTGTAGAGTCCGTAGCCCAACTTCTTGTACGGTGTTTGTGTGCTAGTTGTAAACACACAAGGTGTGTGTGTGTGTGTGGGTGTGTGTGTGTGTGTGTATTTGTGCTGGTTTTTAAATGTGTGAGAGCCCTTATCCACGAAGTGTGTGCGTGTGAGCTGGTTGTATAGAGTATGTGCTTTTGTGATGGGTGTAAAGATTGTGTGTGTGTATGTGTCGGTTGTTCAGAGTGTGTGTGTATGCTGATTGTACGTTCTGTGTGTGTGCTGGTTTGAGAGTGAGATCGGTGTGCATGAGTGTGTGTGTGGGTTGTATAGTGTGTGTGTGTGTGCTGCTTGAAAAATGTGTGTGTGGCAAGTTGCACAGTGTGTGTCTGTGGGTGCTGATTGGATAAAGTGTGTGTGTGTGAGCATGCGTGTGAGTGTATGTATGGATGTGTGTGTGTGTGTATATATGTATGTGTGTGTGTGTATATGTATGCGTGTGGGTGTGGGCTGTATAGAGTGTGTGTGTGTGCTGGTTGAATAATGTGTGTGTGGCAATTTGCACGGTGTGTGTCTGTGGGTGCTGATTGTATAAAGTTTGTGGGTGTGTGCATATGTGTGAGTGTGTGTATGTGTGTGGATATGTGAGTGTATATGTGTGTGTGTTTGTGTGTGTGTGTGTGCGGGTTGTATAGAGTGTGTTTGGGTGTGCGCTGGTTGTACAGAGTGTATTTGTGTGTGTATGCTGGTTGTACGAAGTGTGTGCATGCGCTGGGTGAGTAGTGTGTAACTGAAGGTGTGCTGGTTGGCCAGAGTGGGTGGGTGTGGGACTAGTGGATGTACAAAGTGTTTGCGTGTGATGGTGAAACAGAGTGTATGTGAGTATGCTGTTTGTACAGAGAGTATATGTGTGTATGTGTGTATATGTGTGTATCTGTATTTGTGTGTGTGTGTGCTGCTTGTACAGAGTGCGTGTCTGCCATGGTTGTACAAAATGCGTGCATGCTTAACCATGATTGATGCCATGCACATGTCTCATTCCATTCCTTAAAAGGGGTTGTGCATCTCTTCCTTCCAGGTCCATTCGGCTCTTGCCATTCCAGCAAGCGGAGAGAGGGAGGCGCACTACGTTCGCGCAACACCGAGCTTCCATGGGTCACCCGCATTTTCACGTGTTGCCATACTTCAGACCGTTACAGACCCATTTGGGAAGCAGGAGAACATCACAACATATGCAGACCTGCTCATGCTTTTCCACATAAGCACGCGACGAGAGGATGGTGAGCCCACAGCGCTGGCGTACGTGCGTTTGTATGAGACGGGTGAGGTGGACGAGAAGACTTCTTGTGTGAAGCTCAAACTGAGGGATGTGCATCTCCGACACTATGTAATTGACGCACGGTCCATTTTGCGCTCCGTCCATATTGTGCGATCATACCGGGACCGGTCAACGTTCATTCTCAATCGCTATGTTGCATCGTAGACAATGATGCTATGCTATAATTGCTCTCGGTTGTAGAATGTGGAGGATGAAACTGACTAACGACCTGTCAAATGTTATATATTCTTTATATTGTTAGTCTGTTGGAAACAAAGGAACTTAAATGCTTCAGCAGTGTCGAAACATTGCACCAGAAGCGAGGCAACCTACACCGAAGCACCTGCGAGTCAACCCTCGGAGGTTGAATC